ACCAAGACAATGACCGTTCTGAGAAATTAAATGATGAAAGCCTTGAGATCAGTAAATTGTGATTCACCGTATCAAAGGCCTTTTTCAAATCAAGAAAAACGGCACCAGTAATTTGTCNCNTGTCAAGTGATTGTTTAGCCTTTTCANGCAGCTAACTTACAGCGGTCTCTGTGGGATGTTGACGTCTGAAACCAAACTGAAGCGGATGCAGAAGATTGTTACTTTCTAAATGCAGTAATAGTTCCAGAATAATTTTCTCCAGCACTTTTGACATGACCGGGACCAGACTTATTGGCCTGTAGTTGCTGATTTCATGTCGACTTCCTGATTTAAAAATCGCTTTCACCAAAGCTTTTTTCCATGCATCTGGAAATTGCCCTGTTCTGATGGAAATGTTAACTATATGAGTTAAAGGTTCTACTAAAATGTTACTATATTTCTTTAAAAACATAGCGTCTAAATTATGCATATCCTTTGCGTGAGAGTTACTTAAACTATCAATGGCATTTTGAACATTTCCTTAATCTCAAAGAAATCAGAACAGTTTTTGGTCGGTTTTGTGCCGCGTGTTTCCATTGGAGCTGGCAGAAACTTTGATGCCAAGTCTTCAACTGAAGAGAGGAAAACATCATTAAACATTGTTGCTAGCTTAGCAGGATTAGTTATGGTTTTTCCTGCTATTGCAAGTTCATATTTATGTTTAGTGTGTGCATTGGGATTCAGTAAACTGTTTAGTTGTTTCCAGATCGTCTTACCATTCCCTCCAGTTTTTGATAAGACATTTGTGTAATATTTAACTTTAGATTTGTACATTTCTTTGAGTACTCTGTTCCTCAAACTTTTAAAAAGCAGCCAATCTGTGGTCCTTTTATTTTTAAGAAAATATTTTAAAACATAGTCTCTCTTTCTCATTAACAGCCGAATGTCATCCGTTACCCAAGGTAGCTGTGTTTTTCTTCGTCCCTTTGTATGGGTTTTAAGAAACTTATTCATAGTATTACAAATATTAAGAATACATGTATTGCAGCAATCATTTATCTGATTGTGGCTGGAAACGTCATACCAATTAATCTTAGTTAATTCGGCCTCAAATTTGGGTTCATCCTGTCTTGGAATTTGTATTACAGTCTGTTTCTGGGTATTATAGCGACTGACAAAACGATTTTGAGATAATTTTCTTGCAATGAGAGTAATATTGTGGTCAGATAAGCCGCACACCAAGTTATAGGATTTTTATGATTCGACCAGGTTTATTTGAAAAAATTAAATCTATTAAAGTTTGACTGTTTTTAGTGATACGAGAGGGACTATTGATTAAACGGTGAAAATCAAATTTTGCTGTCAGTTCTCCAAGTGTTTTTTTCAATTTATTGTCCATCCAGTTTATATTAAAATCCCCCAATATGATTACTTCACTGTTGTTTCTAAATCCTGTTAACAATTCCTTTAAGTTATGATAAAAAGTTGTGCTACAACTTGATGGTGGATTGTACACCACTACAACATTAAAATTCATACGAGGTGAAAGACAAACATTTAAACATACAGATTCTATTGATATATGCTCATCTATGACTATCTCATTGACATTAAAGGAGTCTTATGTAAATTAATACTCCCCCTCCTCACCCCACAGCTCTATCCTTTCTGAAACATGTATATCCAGGTACATCAATCATATTAGTTGGAATGTTATCAGTCAGCCAAGTTTCACTGAGACATAGAAAATCCAAATTAGATCCCATTAGCAATGTTCTTATTTCCTCACGTTTGGGTAAGAGACTTCTTATATTTAAATGTCCTCCAACGATATCTTTAGGCTTAAGTACAGGGTCCCAGACCACTCTAGCATGATTAACAGTCTGAAAAAATAGATGCTGTCTTTGTTTGTTTATTGCCTCTGTATGTAGTGTCTTTGGCTTATGTCGGGTCGGTCCATGGCTCTTTGTCTTGTTGGAATTGGCCATCAAGTTCTTACTTTCACTACTTCGTAGCAGACCGTTGTTGATAATCCCAGTGCCGCTATCCAGTGTGGCAGGTGGGGCGATCCAAAGATCTCCATGAGGAAAATGGTTAGTACAGACGTTTGTTGGCAGTGTACTGACACCATAGGTCTTCCGAGTTGAAACATCAGATGCCATAGCCTGGTAGCAAGCCACAGCTTTCCTACCAGTAATGCCGCTTTCGCCACACGAAACAGTCTGATCAAACTGCTGTCCGATATGTTCCTGGATGTAAAGCATGTGCTCCGACACATTCCAACCCGTGCTACCAAAGCCCCGATCTCCAGCAACTGTCCCTGGCTCGTTGGTAAGGAGCCCTTCGATATCGACATCAGCGGATTTGTTCGGTCCTGGATTAAGCTGTACATCACCCGCTAACAAGAGTAGGAAGGCCATGTGTACTAATGTCAATGTCTCCTTCGAGCGGCTTGATTTCTTAAGCGTTGTAATTCGCCTCGAAGTTAGTCTGTGGATAACATAATATACTGCAAAATGACCAGGTCCAAAATAGTTCAGATGAACGGTGATTTCACCTTGGGAGTCCCGTCTTTGTTCGGTTTGAGGAAGGCGGGCATAGCAGAGATCCGACGACAAACAGAAGAAACAGTCGAGCCAGAAAGATTTTCAGAGAGTGAGGCTGACTTCCTTGTCTGTGTAGGGCAAGCCTACCGCGTGCAGTGTAGAAATTACCGAAAATCCATTATTGGCTTGTATCTTTGCATTGTTGCTGCGTTGGTCCGTCAATTGAATCCTTAATTAGGATTATACTGGGTAAATAGGCTTTAAAATTAAAATCCGGGAAGGCAAACATGGAGCCCAACACGGTTTAAAAGTTAAAATCCGAGGAGGCAAACACGGAGCCCAACCAACCGTGTGTCCCTCCGTAACACACGGTTATGGAGGGACCGATTGTGCTTCGCGATTGGAGTTGGCCTGTAAATCCTCTCCAAAAGCTAGACAGACAACGCTCCATTAGCCGTAGCGACTGCCGGGGCTCCGATCCGCCGTTCGAGTCGGGTCGACTTCTCTTCGCTTGAAGCACTTCATTTGGTTTGATACAGGAGTCACAGAGGTGATGCACCTGATGGGCACACCCGACTTAACGGCAATCCTGCCAGGATCCATACAGCCATCGCTCCTTGTTACGGAGCAGATAGAGATGTTGGTATAAAACTGACTCCAAGACACAAGATATTTATGTTTTTTCATCAGTCAAGACTGATACGAAATAATTTCTGCTGTCATAGCAGTGTATTATTATGTGAAGGAGACGAGAGAGAGAGAAAACTTTTATAACGGATGTTTTACAATATTTCTTAGCCAGGAAATTGGTTCATAAACTTTCTCCCTTATGTCTTGCTGCGCTAACTTCATATGTATCACTCAGACATGAAAGTGATATTGATTTTCCCATCTGAGTCTTAGCAAAAAAAAAAAAAAAAGGAACAAATATAAAACTGTCAAAATATCCCCTTACTTATGTCTGTGATGACTTGGCTCAGGCAGTTGCTCTGCTCTGAGGTTTGGTGCTGAGGTGTGTGACTGAATGGAAACGGTTCTCTCAGTACACCAGGTGCTTCTCAACACCGTTTCAGGCTCCAGACTGAAACGGTGTGTGTAGTGAAAAACCACCTCGGCTGAGGAAATTGTAAACTTTATTACAGAACTAGAAATAAGATGTTTGGATTTTGGATCGATAACCCATGATTATGTAAAATGAACAAACAAAAAACTATTTATTACAGCAGCAAAATCTCATACTAAATTTTTTTTATGAATTTGTAAATTGTTGAGTAAAAAAAAGTAATGTGAAGCATTTTAACTGCCTT